TTAAACGTTGTCTACGTCGCGAAATGGACAATTACGCAACATGGATGCAACATTTATATGTGAATGTACCTATGTATAAATTTCGTACATTAAATTTAAAAAATGAATGGCTGTCATCGTGTCTTACATAAAAAATTCTAGAAATATATGGCGAAACATCGTTTGTTGAATCATCTAGTATAATATAATAATAAAATATATAATAATAATATAATAATAAAATAGTATATGAAATTAAAAGTTAAATAATCGCACGTAGACACTCTTTCATTAATTTTACGATCGGTGCGCATGTACTGACGACTTAAGATCAAGAGCTTCGGAAGAGTATTGTGTGTCCCTGTTATATAGAGACGTATGGCGGGATGGACCTTTGACCGGTTCTTTGAAGATTAGACATACTTAGGATGTCAATGGTCTTTATTGTTCGATTTGTGTTGTCCGTGCGGGTATCGGAGTGACCGTTATTTATTTTTTTTTAATGATTTAAAATCATATAGTATACATTATTATAAAATATTTGTGCAGTATTTTACATTGAATGATACACATCATTACAATAAAAACATACATTACTACATAATGGGTTAAGTACAAAAATTCGCTTTAAGTCTTCTTAACTTCTCGTTTGCGAATAATAACTATTAATTATTACAATATGCGCACCTATGTATTTTAAATAAATATACTCATATAAATATAACTATTACAATAGGAAAATGCCTGCGAATATTTGTATGGTTTTACCAAAAAATTTACAGTCGAAAAACGATTATCATCGTATATTGACGGTACGAAATATTTTACCGAATATAAATTAAATAAAATAGTTTTTCGATTTCACGAGTTTATTGAATAATTCATTACACGTAATATAATTTTAATTCTAATGTTGTGTTTGTGAATTTAATCAACTCAAATTTTATGCACAGATTTATTTTTCAGCGTAAACGTCTCAACTAATGGGAATATTACTTTTGTAGAAAAAATAAACATTAAAAATCTGTATACTTTATAGTTAACAAATAATTTTTACTATTTTGAAGTTAAAAAGTGAGTTAAAAGCGGCCACTATAGGTATGCAAGCATAAGTATACACAGGAGCACAGGAAGTGAAATATTTTACTATCGATACTCATAGATGAGTTACTTATATAAACTAAGAAATATTTAAATTACAAATAAAAAAAATAAAAACATATCAATTTACAATAGTAGAATTGAATTATAATTTGGAGTAGGTCACTAAATAAACTATATTTCGCGGTAAATTCATGGCAGAAACTTTAAATCAAGAATACTTTTATTATGGTATATTACAAAAAAATAAGTTCTTCGGTTTTCCTAATTTTCTTTGATTTGCTGTATGTTTGTATATCATTCATTCAATCATTTATGTTAAAATATCGGTCTTAATTTTTTTTCTGAAATATTTAATATTAAGCTTACATTGCCGAGTTTGTTTGAATCACCATTTTTCCACGAGTTATATTAAGCCCAATTATAACATAGAATCAATTCCATTTGAATAAATTATTATTATCCCTATAGTTTTAATTATAACCTTGTAGTGCCATTATAATACGACACGCATGGACGTTGTTAAGTCCCGCATGTGTATATAAAATGAACATTAGTTACAGCGAGCGCCAAATAAAAATAAAATACATGAAATTAAAAGCATTATATTATAATTAATAGTCATTGGAATTAATTATTAATTTAACTATTAAATCAGAAAAAACTTTCGATCTTTCCGTTTTTAGGTTTAACAAATTATTTTATTACTTTATAATTTAAACCTTAGATTTAATAAATTACCCTCGAATTTATTAATTATAGGTGAACCTATTATAATATAAAGAAAGCTTATTTGGACATTTTTACCGATTTTTGTGTAAGACTTATTTAGTGACTAACCACCTGGATATTAAATATTAATACCCACCAACGTCATTAACTATTTAATTATAATTGAACAATTTATTTGTCCGACTATCTGTCATGAATATTACGCCGCCTCAGTATTTATTAAATATGTCACTCGCAGAGGTTTAATATTATTTTTAATAATAGATATAGCATTATAATAATGTGGACTCATACATGTGCACCTACATTACTAGATATTTGTTTTTATTTATTATACTAATTTTTTACAAAATTTTCGAAGCGTACAATAACATTATTTATTATAATATAAACTATAAATTAAATGGACTAAGTATATTGTTAGTAAACATAGTTTCAAATACACAAATGTTGGTATTTAATATGTGTTTATTATAATAAAATAAATTATCAAAGTTATTGTCAAAATATAAGGTTAACAGAAAAAAAAGGAGGACATAATATTTTCATATAATTTAGTTAAATATAATCTATGTAAATTCAAGTATATTAGTTATTCTGAAAACTATGATGTAAAATAAAATAAAAGAGACGGTCAAAAATAATTGTAATATTAAGTATGTAATTTATTTTATTATATCATTTTTTTAATTCAGACAAAATATATATAAATAACTTCATCAAATAATATAATTATTTTAAGATGAATATTTACAAAAGCCAAAATCGATCTTGCCTCGTATTAATAGAAACAATTTTCGTAGTTGTTGCGGGATTAGTTATTATTTTGAGTTTTTGATAACGAATCACGGACGATGACGGCAATACACAGCACAGGATTTTTAATTGATATTATAGAAATAACAATGTATTTTTATTTGTAATTTTTGTTTAATTACTTATGGAACATTTTACTACATATTAGATCAAATTACCTAATTTATGATTATGATATTGAGAAAATGTATAGTTTAAATTATATACTAATTTTAAATTATTATAATATATTCTTGCAGGAATTTAATTGCTCCTACTCTCCATTCCTTGAATTACATTCCTAAATACTACTGGTATATATGAATATTGAACAATATTTACAGCACTTACATTATCTATTTTTATTTGTAAGGAGGATAAATCATTTTTTCTCCTGACTTTTAATTTTATTTTATCCTAAAACTTTTAGGAATTTTCGGAACCATGCATATTATAAACAAATTAAATTAAATAACTTTTTTTTTTAAATAGAAACTGATTGGAAATTTTTCAGATGACAAAACACTTCAAGTATCAAATATTGACTCAAAAATTGTTTGTCAAATATCCAACAGAATATATCAATATAAAGTATGTAAATATATACAATTTTTAAACATATTTATACAAACTTTTGGGTCGTTTATATAATATAGCACCAGAGCATTTGAAAACAAATAATATAACCAACACCACCTTAATCTGTTATAAAAAAAATTTTCCTATACTACTTTCTCTTTCCATCCCAAACATTGCCCATTTCTCTCATTAATCCACTCTACCATTCTTCACAGATTTCAGGTTGTATACCTTGGTTTTATCTTCGATAAACGACTAACCTAATCAGCTTATCTCAAAGACAAAAAGGAAAAACTCAACTCACTACTCTATAATTATAAGTCACTTCTCCTCTCCAAAATATCAATCTCCAACAAACTATTCGTTTACAAAATGTTATTAAAATCTGTTTGTATCTATGGATACATCATCTGGGTTTCAGCTAAGCCTTTGAACATTCGAAAATGTTAGTCCTATCAGTCTGTGAAATGATCAAGGAGCCGTTATAAGTTATTAACATGGCAATCCACCAAGACTTAATGATCGCAAGTATCAAAGAAATCGCCTTAAAATACTACGATAAATTTCATTTAAAAATAAAATCACATAAAAATCCAACCATCATCGATCTATCCCAAAAAATCCTGTCAGAAAATCCTACTAGGTGCCTTAAATAAAACTGGTAAAAGGACCATTTGTAATTAAACTCAGTTAATCCAGGTTTCAAAATCAAGTTTTATTTTTTTTTCAATAAAAATAAATAAAATATTGTGCTAATATTTGTACCGGATTAAAAATATTTCAATAAAAATATATAGTAATAAAAAATTAAATTTCACGTATTTAGTTTCTACAATATTCTGGGACAAGTTTAACTGAAATAATTTAAATCAATAAATAGATTGAATTTTTATCGTAACTTCTTAGCAAAAAAAAAGTGAAATTTACAATGCAATAGTAAAGGTTTGTCTACAAATAGTACCTACTAAAGCTTGTGAAAGAAGTAAAAAATGATTTTTTCAACTATACAATATTACTATACAACAATTAAAATAATATTTTTTTTTTCTTTACCCGCTTTAATTCTCAGTGTTCAAAATGTTATAATACGCTATACTGAATTTTTTATAATTTATTTTTTGAAATTTCTCAACAGTTGCGATATATCATGTATATGTTTAAGGTTATTTTCGTTTATTGAATTATTTTACTACAACACAAAATAGTGGTCTCGAAGAATAATTTGAAGGAGTAAGAAATTATTTTATTATAATATGTTTTTCGTTGATTTTCTGTTTTATAACGACCTAAATTCTAGTCCTTTTAAAGTTGCGTGTCCCCAAATATTTGTGGTGACAAATAAGAAGTAGAAAAACTTGTAATACGTGGAAAACAAGTATGTGCGGAGAGCTGAGTATGATATATTTTATTCTCACATCTTGGTCGGCGTTACGTGCACATAATGCTCACGAACTCATGATGTGTGATCACGGGTGGTGTGGTTGATGTGAAGGAGAGAGAGAGAGCGAGAGAGAAAGAGAGAGAGAGAGAGAGAGCAAAAATCGTTTGCCAACTGGTCGGCTAAATTTTTGTTTACAGAGAACAGGGCGCACGGGACAGCGGATAAAACGAGTTATGTGCACGGCGTCAACTCCTTTGGGAAGGACAAAGGACGAAACGAACTGGTCGCGGCATCTGTGCGCGACCGGTCGTACGGCAGTCTGACACGGTGGTCGCCACGAACGCCAGAGACACGGGCCTCCACGGCGCCTGTGCGCGTCGCATCGATCGCCGTCGCAAGGTTACCGTGAGTGACGAGAGCGTCGCGACGGAACGGGCCCGCGATTGGCCGACCACCGTCCTTGACAGTGTGCACCGCTGCCGAATGAGTTGCCGTAGATGGGGTCGCGCCCGGCCACCGGCGACTGTGCCGCTGATTCCTCGTGACCCTGCAGGGCCGTCCGGTCCGTCTCTGCCGCCGCCGTCTACTGATCGAATCGTGTGCGTTCTCAGTTGCCCGACACCGACCAACCAACAAATCTTGTGACCGACACGAAATCGGCCGGATCCAACCCGTCTTTGACTGCGGTAAGTACGCGCAGACGACAATAATTAAATATTCCGAATAAATTATCAATAATGTTATCCCAAAGTGTGCGATTTTTATACTTTTTTTTCTCTTCAAATTTTGTTTGTTTTATTTTGCTCCCTACGGCTGTTCACACGCATTTAGTCTAGAAAATCACTGGTTGTTTCACTCCTGCATTATATCATTATCGATTCCCACGATTACCATCGCCGCCGCCGACTCGGGCTTCCGCACTGGCATCAATGACCAAGTGTTTGCGTTCATTACGTCACGGCGCATCGCAATTACCCATAACTCTTAGGCGGCGTCTCGCGTGTAACCGCGCGACCGGCACGCTGATCGCTGATAAGCCTTATCACGTCCGCGGCACAAGAAATACACTTCCAACCACCCCGTCGGTTCTCGAATCACAAGAAAAATTAATTTAAAGGGTGCAACAAGTTCAAAAGACAAAAAAAAAAATACTATATAAAAAATAGTCCAGCCGTCGATGGCGATCGGGTGCAATATGATTTTTGAAAATCTTTCTCAGTCCCTCTTCCATCTTTGATTCGAACACTACCTATCCGCGCTTTTTCTACTACTAGATACGAGCACTACACGATACTTGTACGCGCATGCCGTTTGTTGACGTGATTTCATAGGAACATAATATTTTTTCGTGGCCAATTATTAAGAGTGATGGTATCCCTCGGTCATCGACCATAGGGTCCTGCTGATCTGACTCATGGTGACTGATGACTATCATATTGTATTGAAGTTTTGTTTAGAGTACTTTTTTTTGAGGTCGATTTTTAGCCCGGATCTATGGTCGTCTCACCAAACAAAGAAGTTCGGAACACCGTCGGAGGTTTCTGTACATAAACAATATGCTTTAACGGACACCGTGTAAGTTCGTGTTTGGAAGTTGCGAACACGAGATTGTAAGGAAACGAGATTTATGACCCGAACGATAATACGTGACTTGTTTAAAAAAAAAAATTTAAAAAAAATATCGAAAACACCGAAATGTAATGAATATAATGTATACGCATCATTCGCCGCTTTGACAGCCTCCGGTTGCACCGAAAATTATGGTGTACCAACCGACTATTATTAAAGATAAACTCATAAAAAATGTTAAAATCTCCGATGCATATCCGCCCACGCAGACAGATATTGATGTACGGTATAGACATTATCTGTGGATATTCATGCGGTTTGTTCAAAATGCAATCTCGTCCTACAGCAATAATAACTAGTGTTGGCCAACGATATATTTTTAATTATCGATATCGTATTTTTTTTTTCGATATCGTATCGCGATATCGGAAAAATATCGATATCGATATCGATTTAAATAACAACATAACAAGTTAAATTTTATATAATTTAGTTTATTGAAAGCACATCAAAACTATAAAATACATATTATATTAATATATTATGAGTGTAAATTAATTAACTATTATTAATTATTTTGTACTAACTGAAAAGTATCCAATGTATTTAATCAAAGTCTAGTTATTGTTTGTTTACTAGGAACAATATACTCAGGTACGGCTATTTCCATAAATTCAAGAAAACCTTTCCTTTCTATAATACTCAAAGGTCTTAAATCTTTAATAACAAATTTCATCAGGCTTTTTGTTATTTCCTTAATTCGTTTAGTTTTGTTTGATAATTTGGATGAAGTTTGCTTAAAATATGGAATCAAACTGTTTGACGTACTTGGTTTTGTACTTGAATATTGCTGAAAATGTGATTTGAGATTAGTCATATTTCCACTATAATCAATAACACATTTGCACTTCTTACAAAAAACTTGATTTTTATTTGATATAATTCCCTTTTCATTAACTTTAAATCCAAAATGTTGCCATATATCACTTCTAGCACCAGACAACGGTATTAATTTAAAGTTTTCACTCATTTTATTTAATATAAATATAAAATAAAGTACGAAATAAAATAATTACGACGTCTCACTGCGAGTTAACAACCGGCATTGAATTTAGATTAAATTGTTTAATATGGATAGGACCATATCATATCATAATTTAGTATCTACTTTATACTTTTATAGATATAATTTTATTATACCTATACTGTTTACTCAATTTAATTAAAAATACCGAAAATAATATAATCGTTCGTAAAATCCCGAGCCCCGATTAATCACATCGATATCGTGATATTTTCGATAATTATTTTTAGATATCGGTATCGAAATTATTAAGAAAATATCAACGATATCGATATCGTATCGAATTATCG